CAACGGTGTTCAAAGATGGTCAACTTGCTTCCCATTTACCTTTTAACTTCATGTCATCTGACTTCTCTACTCTCAGTACTTAACAAAGCATATCCCAGGACTCCAAACACCAACCCAGAAGCTTTTTATGGACCTCATTCCTGGGGCTATAGATTTACCCCTATCTATAATAATTTTTAAAAATTATAAAGACTATTCTATTGGCCACGTGCCTTTAAACTAGTTCTTCCTTCAGTATTCACACTCTGCACTGTCCTGGTTCTACCTCTGAATGTTCCCTGTCTTTGCTGACAACCTGTCCTAGTCCCATTCCCCAAATATGGATATTTCCAAGGGATCCATCCTAGGCAGAGTACTTCATCCCCTCACTCTTCCTCCCACCATTTTTCTGACCCTAGCATTTCACTTCTCACTCAGGAACAGCTCAGTTCTGTAACTGTCACCTCCAGTGATAGCGCCACCTCAGAAACCCAGTATCATGTTTCTCTTTGCTATAATATCACAGTGAACTATCTCACTGAGATCACAAATTAAATATAACTAAAAATTCAACATATCATTTGTCCTCTGGATTTTCTTCTGATTGATTTTATGAAGTAAGAAAGCTGGAAACTTCAAACCTATCTTTATCTTCAACTTCAGCTCCTCCATCCAGTTAGCTCCAAGTTCCAGTTTGAATTTTCACATTTTAAAATGGAATCTTTCAATTTTTCTCCCTGAGATTACTTTTTAAAAAAAATCTTTAACCTTCACCCAGGGTCACTGGTTCTGAGTGAAAATCTAATAGAGAATGAACCCATCTCCCACCTTTTGCTTTAAGATCACTTGTCAAGTTTCTTCTACAAACGCCATCCCGGGATTTTCCTTATTTGTGTGTCCAGGTCTTAGCTTGGCACTTATGGGAAACTGTATCAGTGAGATGATCTGGCTTTCCTTTTCAAATCTCATTCTCCTTGTCCTTTCCATTTTGGGATAACTTTGTGTCAGTGTGACCAATGAGACATAAGCTGAAGTCTGCTTTCAAATTCATGGGGGAATTTCTGCTTGCTTGGAACTGTATTTTATCAACCCTGCTAATATAGACACAGACATGATGAGTGGACTTGAAGCAGCCTTCTTCCTGCAATTGCGAGAGAAAGGCAAAGAGATTCACAGAGACTTTCACAGTACATCGTGAATTACATAACTAACATCACCAGTTGTCTTCTCCATATTTGTTATTATGACAGAAAAATAAATTCAAACTCTAGCTCCCATGGGAAAAGTGGAGTTTTCTTCCATATTTTGGTGACCCATTCAGAATCTCTTGCTTGCTTGTCCAACTTGGCCCCTCCCCATTGCTGAACTTCTCACTTTGATACTAAGTTTTCAGCTTAATTAGATTTTTATAAAGAATATTCGGTAATAAAAACCCAATGGTAATACATATCAAATGATGTACTAAAAGATCTTCAGTGGTTCCCTATTGCTTGCTTAACTAGATATTCAAGTGGCCCTATAATATCACTTCATTTAATCAGCCTGATATAATTTTTCAATATTTAACCTATTTTCTCAGAAAATAGAATGCTCTTGTTCTTTAAATGGATCATTCGATCTTCTACTTCTATAATTTTGTTTAAACTATTTCCTCCCCCTGGAATGTGTAATGTCTTGTTCTTCATTTTGTCCTCTAAAGATAACCCATTTATCAAGTCTTAGCTCAAGCGTCTTCTCTTCCGCAGCATAATAACTTAATACAGAAAATTTTTCACTTTTCTAGCATCTCTTGGAATAGCTACTTAAGGCACACAACATAATCACATAGTTTTACTGAGGCACTCATGAGATTATCAGCTTCTTGAGGGCAGAAATGATTTAATAATATTTTATACATATGTTCAATAAAGATTCATGAAGTCTTTTTTCTATGTGAAGACGGTGTGAACAAGAGAGATAAGGTCCTTCTTCTGTAGTTTATGTTCTCAGGATGGAGGGGCAAATTTTACAGACAACAAAGGAATAAATAAACAAAATAGGATCATTTCAGATTCAGATTGGGCAGTGAGAGAAGTTCTCCCCAAGGAGGTGATATTTGAGATGAAACCTCAAATAATAAGAAGAACCAATCGCAAGAAGACTGAAGAGCAAGTGAGAAGTTGCTGAGTTGGGTCTGACTATGATGTGTCTGGAGAACACAGGGAGGACAAGTAGAGGGAGGGTGGTGGGCAGGTGGGGGAGGGTCAGGGAAGGCTAGTGTGACATGAGGTTACAGAGGTGGCAAGGGCTGACCTTGAAGGTCTGTGGAGGCCAAGCACAGTGGCTTGGATTTCATTCTAAGGTTTTAAAAAGGGAGTAACACGATCTAATTTACAATGTAAAATGATCTCTCTGGCGGCTGTGGAGAAAACGGATTATATAGGGTCAAGAGTGGAAGCAGGAAGATTAATTGGAAGACTTCTGCAGTAATCAAGGGTATGAGATAATAGCAGGTTGGATCTGGTGGTTATAGAAGAGGAAAGAAAAAATGGACTCACAGTCTCCATGATATTATGCACAGTAAATTGAAATATAGCATTCAACACATATATGCCTTAATATGTATCTACTTCCAAATAGTTTCTCATTTTTCGTTTCTATCATACCTTTGAGTTTTTCTGGTTTGGATCACACATTATGGCTTAATATACCCCTGTTTGGCATTTGAAGAGCCAAAGAGAAACACAAAAAAAAACCCTTATATAAATTCAAGGAATAGTAAGGGATCCACAACGGAAAATCACCTAACAAAAACCTGAAAAGCTGGAGTTTGGAGGGTCATATTGCTAAGTTAAAGAAATAAATCCTTTGAAACAAAAAGTGGAACTCAAAATCTGTGATAGGATGAAAATGGATGGGGTATTCAAATACAAAGACTGCATTAAAATAAAAAAGAGTGTCCAGTTAACACTAATTGCAACAGTGTGCCTTAATGATTGATAGGATAATTAATTTTCATTGAAATTGAAGATTCTCCAGTTCTAACTTACTCTTGCTTCTCTGGAAATATGAAATCTTCACATTTCTATCTTTACATGATAAATTTCCCGATAAGTAATACTACCTTAAATATTATCTTACTAGAAAGGAATGTTTATAAAATTCTCAGAGCACTGAATGTGACCTGCTTTGTTTCTAAATTAGGAATCTGGGGAAAGATGAGTAAATTCAGTGGGTTCTCATTCTCTTTCACATATGCCTTCCAGGACATTTAGGATATTGCCTATGAAGATCCATCCCACATTATGAATTAAATCCAAATTCCTTCAATACAAAGTAAAATCCTGGAGAAAATAGGATGATTTTTTTGCCACTTTTCTACCCAAAATGCTAAATGGCCCCTGAATCGTGTGAAACTTGGCCCCAGTCGGTGTGAAAACTGGCTGAAATCTATATGAAAGGCAGTCTGGGTTTGTCAAAGTAGTTCATGAACTTTGAACAAACTTTCAGGGAACCGAGTCCAAGTCTTAGTTTGTAATGCAACATGAAACCAGGTGAATTTCAGAAGGTTTCAAGTTTCATCCTGAAAATTTGGCCTAGCTTTATAATCAATCATCACTCTTGGTCACGATGAAAGCCAACACACCTTTTTGAAAAGGAGAACTGCATGCAGACTGATGACAGCTAAGCTGCGAACCACCCCTTCACTTCCTTTGCCAAAAGAAGAGTTCTCAGAATGGAAACAGTTTCCCTCTTACCTGGAAAGGCAAGTTGAGTGATTTTGGCATTGAGTGTAGAAAGAAATGATAATCAATACGTGGAGACACGCCTTGTGAAATGATCATCACCTACAGAGCAAGTGGCTAATGTCTAATCAGTTCAAGTGAATGGGAGATTTATTCCATTCCCTTCTATGCAGTAGATAAGCATGAAGTTTACTCTCTTGACCATTAAGAGAGAATTTTAGCTTGAAGCAGGTCACTGGCTAGAATAAGTACCCTGAAAACTCTCCAAGGTGTAATCATTATTTCTATATGAAGAATGAAGGATAAAAAGAAAAGTAAATCAGAACATAACCTCTATCTGGTTCAAGAAACACAAGGAGATAAGAAGACAAAAAACTTTCAGGTTTGCATCAACTGCAGTTTTTGCAAAAAACAAACCAATGAACCCCTGAAAGCCCTATGCAGTATAAATGAATCCAATAATTAACTAAACACAGTACACTTTACAGAAAGACTACATAGTTTCTGTTTTCAACCTGAAAGTTTCAAATGTGCTTTCCACTGGAAAAAAAAAATTACTCTCTTCAACCAATTACTTGCTGTTGTGCATAGTGACATGAGAAAATTGAAAGGTATGTCTGAACAGAGCCACTACATCATTGGAACAGTATGTCTGAACATTTGGATAATAAGGCACAGATGTGAAGCAGAGGACTTGGCACTACCAAGGTAACAACAAAGCATTCACCATTGGTTATAATGGTTTAAAGGGCCATATTTGAAAAGAATAAAAGATCGCCCTTCCTCTCACTATGCTAAATCATGTTACACCTTTTATCTGCCTAAAAATATGCAGAAAATCAGACAAATAAGTATTATTCCAACACAGGATAAAGAATAAATATGTAGAATACATTAATATTTTTATCTGTAATAAAGCACATTTATGCAATAACATGTAAAGTTTAACTTAAGAAAAAAACCACATGGCCTTTATGTTGCAAAACAATGCATGCAAACCCAAAGGACCCAACAGTCATTGGGAAGGTGGCTGCTGAGGACAGCTAGAAGTGATGCTGCCCCTTAATCAGTGGTCTAATTATTGCAGAATGTTTTATTTATGGGCATCAGGTTAAGATAATGCACAAAATATATACATTAGTCATTATTAAGCTTTGTCACTTACAAGCAATGTGGTATTTGTGTCAGTCATTACTAAATCATGCAGCACGAGGGCAGTTATGACAGTGGGGTGCTTTCATTAAGTTTGGAGCAGGAAACTAATTTTCTGCCCAGAATAGGAAAAGTACAACTTACCCGAGGTCCCTGATCACCCTGTTCTCCCTGTATAATTGGAAGATAAGATGACAGCTTTAGCCAAAATCCATATGTGATACTTCTTAAAAAGGTCAAAATATAACAGTACAGGGTCATGCCAATATGGATTTCCAGTAAATTAGTTTTTGTCATGAATTTTCTTACCTTATCACCTTTTGGACCAGGGGGGCCCTGAAAAAAAACAGAGAGAGGAGAAAAAAAAGTGTAATTTAGAAAAAAACAATTGCAGCTTGAATAGATCCATCAGGTCAGTAGAAGATATATACAAAGGGCATGAAGATACAGATGTCAATGACATTTCTCAATAAATTTTGGTTTCTGAACTATAATTGTATTATAATTGGAATATGAATATGGCAATACGTGTGTGTATGTAGACATTCATGCAGCTATGTTTTGTCATCAGAATGTGATATGTTGAATGGATTTTCACAAACTGAAGATACCTATGCAAGGAGATCTCAGTTAAAGAAACAACACTATCAGCAAGTCAGAAGCTCTGGTTGTCACATGTCCTTGTCATTACTCTCCACCACTTGTTAATTGCTATTCTGACCACTGTCAACTTTTTATAAATGAAATCACACAGTAAGTGTCTGCTTGTTTTTGATCAAAGTGTATGCAGTTTACTTATAATTTTGTGCATAGTTGTAGATGGTTGTTAGTGCTTTCTAATATTCCACTGTATGAATATAGCATAATTCATTCATTCATCCTCCTGTTGATGCCCATTTGTTTCCAGAAGGTTAGAAGCTCTGGGCTATTAAAAATAGTGCTACAACAAACAGCCTCATACAAATCTTTTGGTGAAAAGTTGTATTCATTTCTGTTGGGTAATAGGAGTATCCTGTTTAATTTTAGTAGGTCCTGTCAAATAGCTTTCCCAAGTGGCTTCTACAATGTACACCCTCATCTGCAATATATGAGAGCTTCAGTTGTTCCACATCATCATCAATACTTGGTATTTTCTATCTTTTTCACATTATATGTTCTGATAGGGGTGTAATAATTTCATGTTTTTAAAAAATTTGTATTTCTTCTGTGTTCAGTAAGTTGAACCCCTTTTTATACATTTATTGGCCATTTTATATCCTCTTTTATAAACTATCCACACTTTTTTCTCTTGTTCTATTGAATTGTTCTACTGCTTTGCTATAGTTCATTACACATTACATATTATATGCCATGCATCTGTATATAGATGGGTAGGGATACATAGTAGAGCTCTTTACATATTCTGAATGAGTCATTCATCAGCTATGTTAATGCAAACATATTTTCCCATTCTGTGTACTGCCTTTATATTTTCTTAAGGTGTTTTTTAAATGAATTTTAAATAAACTCAGTATAACATTTTTTTCTCTTTATAGTTGTGTTTTTTTTATTATTTCACGTAAGAAATCTTTGCCTACTCCAATATCAAGAAGAGATTCTTCTACATATAGTCTAAAAACCAAAAGCTTCATTATTTTATCTTCCATATTTGGATTTGAACTCATTAGGAACTGATTTTGTAAATGATAGAGAAAAAAGCATCCTGACTTTATCGCCTAAGTGGATATCAAATTAACCAAACACCATGTATGGAAAAGGCATCTTTTCCCCGTTGTGGTACTAGGTTACCTTTGTCATAAATCAGGCGACCATACATGTATGTCTCTTTTCAGAAATTTCTTCTTTGGTGGGCAGCTGTCTATTCTTTAGGCACTTTGAGATTTTTCTCTGCCTTTGAACAAAAGCACTAATGGGAAATACTCATTCTAGAGGTATTAATTATGCTGTCTTCTCTAGTTCTTAAATATGAAGTCATGTTTTGTGGTTCAGCCCAACGTAAGGAACTGGAGCATTTCTAAGTCACCTTTAATCTCTCAGCTGTTTTTAGCAGGATTGGGAGACAAGGACAAGCTCAGACAGGAAGTAAAGTCAAGGATACTAACCCCTATCTTAAGTTTCCCCTGCTGTGCCTCTGCAGGTGGGCACATAGCAATATTCCATCTAAATACTTTCTTCTGCTAAGAGCCAGTCACAGAGGAACTACTCTAGCTAGAGCTGAGAGGTTATCATGAAATTAAGAGTAACAGATCAGGTCTCATATTTTGTTTAATTTACATTGACAAAGAACTTTCACCTGTTATTCCTTAATCTTTCCCACAATGCAAGGCAGAACTTATTATGATAATCCTTACATAAACGTCCTAAATGAAACTCAAATCTTATCTATGTTAGGCCTCTTGTGAGTCTGTCAGGCTTCTAATCCAGTCTTCATGACTTCAAATGCTGGGGTTTTGATACTAAAGCTCTTGAACACAGATCTAGAACTGCATTCTCAGAGTCATGTCAGGTATCTGGTACCTGCCCTCAGCATTGTGCCTTCTGAAATGCCTCCCAACTGCACATTCCCCACTGCCATGGACATTGGTCCCAAGACCCCAAGAGTCTAAATGAGAGAAAACAAGGAGAGCCAGAGGGTGACAGGAAGCTAGACCCTGGGATGACCTTGATAAAAACCTTTCACTCAGATCAGTAGAGGAAAGGGACCTGGGAGTGGTAGGGGGGAGGGAGGGGAGCAGTGCCAGGGACTGATATTGGTCATTATTGTATGCACGTATGAGTATGTAACAACAAATCCCACCATTATATACAAACATAATGCACCAATAAAAAAACATGGGGAAAAAACCTAAAAACCTTTCCTTCTTATCTGCAAATTATTTTATCACTGAAAAAAAATTATTTTATCACTGAAGTGAGAAAATTATTCTTTCTTAAAAGAGAAAATTATTTTTCTTAATGTTTTCAGTAAAATTTTAATATCCTTATTAATATTTTCAATAAATCAAGTTGTAAGTAAAAATGATAGTCTACCTACTGTCTGTAAAACTAAGGAATTTACTTGGTAATTTTCACACATACAAATGTTCATTAATTCTGTTCAAGTCGAATTATATTTTTGGTAGAGCAAAGGAAAAGAATAGTGAGGGGATTCCTACCATCATATTTATGCAATAGAATGAAGACTCTAGTCTTGATTTAAGTTGCATGTCATTGAACTCTATTTTGACTTTTACATACATCTGTTGGATGTCTATAAAGAGTTCACCAATGTTCTGAGTACTGGTAGAGCATATGGTGGGAGAGGCTGATTTAAAAAGATGTGGACTGTCCCTGTCCTCAAAAAACTAACTGGCTTAGCACAATTTACTGGCATTCAGGAAAAATGACTCCTAGTTAAGTCCAACAACTTTAAGGTCAGCTTTTAATATAGACTATACCCAGGTTTTTCCCCTCTTCCCCTGCCTGCTTTTGCTAATAAGATTTCAGAGGCCAAGCCTTCCAAAGGCACTCTGTGAGGTTCTAAGGCATGTTCTAAGGCTTTTCTGTAAAAAATTTTTTTACAGTAGGGAACAGAAGCAACTCCTTTTCTCAAAGTCCAATGACCAAGGCCAAAGCCACATGTGTCAACTAGTGCTCTGTAGCTGGAGCGCCTGGAGCAAGGACGCTTAATTCACGAACACATGAAATCTTGCACTCAAAACTGAGCAATAAATACTGCTGCTTCAAGAGCGGGTGTTTTTGAGCAGACAGCATGGCGTCCTGACACCTGCCAGCTCAAGACAGAAGCCAAGCCGAGGTCAACCTCCACTCACAGCTGTGGTGGCTGCTTGGGACACTCAGCCCCCACTTGTGTGTGGGATTAACAGCAGGTGTTTTCTTCTGTTCTAACTGAAATCCCACTTTTCTTTCTGAGTTGAATTTCTTCACTGAAACCTGGATTTAATCTGAAGACCAGAGTGGGTCACCTTTGTAAACAGCATTTCAAAATTTGGGAGCTGTGGTTGTTTTCTAAGCCAAAACATTACAAATTTTTAAAAAAGAGAGAGTTCTTTGATTATTAACTTTAGTTAGATCATGATTTCAGTTTTGCTTTGTCTTTAATTTAAAAAAAAATACCTCATTACTATTTATTAAAGGATAGAGACCAATACAAATTAATAACTCTATTTGATTTACAGTATATCAGTAAATGGCATTTTGTTGTTTCCAACAACACCAAGTTTATCAATCTAATACTTAGATGTATTTATTGTTTGGGTAACAATGTCAATGGCTAGATGGTTAACTATTGCTAAAACCAAGTTGAGATCAATGAAAAGGAAATAAGGCAAAATTAGTATAGTAATTAACTAGGCTGTGAGTCACAGATTTATATCAGGTTTCTTTTGGGATTCCCCACTTTCTTGTCTTCTCTAGAATGTTGGAATTTGATCTATAAAAGATGTATTAAAGCACACTTTAATAAATAAAAAATTTGAAATGATTTTTCTAGATAGATTTATGCAATTAGGTCTCTTTACATAAATTCTAAAAGGTACTAGTAACGTTCATATTTATTAGTGTTGATAGTAGTTGGAACATTTCTTTTAGGGAACTGTTAGTGTTAACAATGTGGCACTCAGTTAACTAGTTTACTGTCACACTCTTTATAAATTTTGGAGGCAAACTTCAAAGTAGCTCTTGTTCAAACAACTTTAAATTCAGCAATTATAGTGTACCTTTCTGTTTGTTCCAAGTTGTTGATGTAGGTCTTGGCCTATATTGATTCTAGTCTCCCAAATCTATTTCTTGCTCAACAACTAAGGTTTTAGCTATTTTTCCATTCTCTATTGTCTATTTCAATTAAATGGGAAAACTAAACTAAAAGCATAAAGAAGTACAATGAATAACACTCAGGAAAATATTGGATTTTAATGTACATTACAGAAACTGAAATGCAACTGGCAGAGAGAGAGATTCACCTGGTTTGGGCATCCCCAAAAATGGTCTTTTATTCATTAGAACCATAAATTTTACTTCTTTTCTTTTTTTTTTATTTGTTAAATTTTACTTATTTTCAACTGGAAAAAGTAAAGAGGGACTAATTTTTAAGATAACAATCATGAAAACAAAATCAAATTCTGCTAGTTCTGCTAAAGCTAGAAAAAAAGAGACTAGGAGCAAATCCTAGGAATTCTTGGCAGCCAGGGCTGATGGGATAGAAGTGAGGTTATGATTTCTAGCCCAGAAAAGCGTAGATAAGTTTATTTTTCTGGGCTAGAAATCTAACAATTTTTTTTTCTGGTTAATTTTTTCATTACTGTAGAATTATGAGGACAAGCAAGTCAGATTCTCTA